CCTAGTTCAAACCTTCACATTTCCATGCAGAGGAGAACTGCCTTTGCTGCTGAGATATGACTTAGTGATGTGAGCCGCCCCGAGGCTTCGGCGAATGGGGCGGCATAAAAATGTTTTAATAAATAAAATAAATAATAAAATATTGCCACAAAATGAAAAAAATAAACTAAATGGACATACTTGTCAGCAATGTCTGCTCTAGCTTCATGTTGGTGGGGTTCTAACAACTGTACTCCAATCATTAAACTTCATCTTATGAGAAGTAAATTAGTCTTGTTCCTCAATCTGTTTTTGGCTATACAACTCTGCTGTGAGGCTAATCAAAATGTTTAATGTTTTGCCCCTCTTTCATTTTACTCCTGTTCACAAATTTTCTTGTATGGCTTTGTTCCCTGGGTTTTAATCTCCATGTTTAGATCCCTTGCAAATGGATAAAGATATAGATGTTTAGGCTGCTATTCCTAAAGTTGATGCCTGTTTTTATTGAGAGCTCTATTTTCATATGCATCCATATGCTCATGGGTGCATATTTGATATTCATCTAGTGTAGCTGATTTATTTAAGTTAAATGAAGGCAATTACCTACATTGCATAAAGGAGACAAGGGATTTTTGAAATCAAAGGTTGGATGTAATGTTTTTTGAAGTGCAATGGAGTGGACATTCATGTAAGGAGCTGGGCTTCCTCCTCTCTTACTCCTCCTTGCAGCCTTCAGCACATGCCCCAAATCTTCTCTAGAAAGACCTCCAACCCTCCAGAGAATTTGCAGGACACAAAAATCTACAAGGGGAAATGAGGACATCCATCATTAGCAGTTTCTGTTCGGTTAGTGAATGCTGCATTGAACCCAAATGAACATGAGAGTTGTAAGCAATTACACTTCAAGCCCTCACAAAAAAGAAATATACTATTGAGGGAATATATTTTTCTGAACCAAGGGGTATATCATGATTCTATGATCCTATCGCAAGAGGGGTTTAAATAAAGAAGAAACGAAGCGTGATACACGGGCCTTCTGTTATTCTTATTCTGTGAATTCCCTTCAGTTGAATGGTGATACTCAACATGAATCTCACCACACAAATCTAGTGTTTTTCTTCCAGGACAACGCATGCAGGGGAAGCACTTTCGGATATCAAGGACGGACAATGCACGATCTATCAGACGAGTGTTGACAGAGCAAAGTTCTCTTGAAGGGTTTTACACAAGTCCAGCCCCCAGTGGTAGAACACACATTTGTACATGCGGTGTCTCGAGGTATCTCAAATTAAAATGGAAGGGGGGATTGAACCTGTAAATGTCATCACAGTAGGGAGGAGAACATTCAGCCAGCACCTGGCACTCCCCTGTGCTCCTTGGGTTTCCTTCCCATGTGTCCTGTCCAAGAAGCTAGCTGAATGGAGACCAGGTCCATGGATGGTTAAGCGCCTTCCTGGACCCTTTCTTTGCACAAAATACGATGAAGTATGGGCTCCCTGACCCTAATTATGCAAAGCCCACAGGTCATGTGTGGCGTGGTGGTTAAGAGCACGGGACTGGGACTCAGATGACCTGGGTTCTAGTCCCCACTCAGCCATGGAGCCAACTGGGTGAGTTTGGGCCAGTCACAGACTCTCAGCCCAACCTACCTCACAGGGTTGTTGTTGTGTGGATAAGATGGAGGAGGAGCTGTAAGCTGCCTTGAGCCCTTTGTAGGAAAAAGGCAGGATATAAATCCAAAAATAAATAAATAAAATACAATTAAAATTAAATGTTGCTATCAGTGTGAAGGTTTGCTTATAAAAAACTACAGTGTGAGTAGCTTGGAAAAAGACGGTGTGCTCCGTGACGCTTTTCTGCTGCGCTTTGCAGCATGCGTACCTTTCTGGCAGATGGTCCAGTGGATGCAGTGCCTTGAGGCATGACCTCCTGCGTGCCGTCAGACGCGTGTGCTTCAGTAGTGCCGTGATTACAAAGCCATTTGCTTTTCTTTTGAGGATACCCAAAATGGATGCATGCAGTGCACAGTTTTCCTTGCATAGCTACTTTCAGTCTTACTGCATATACAATCGGTATTACTGAGCTGCAAGGGTTCGCAGAGGTTCTCCAGTCCAACCCCTTGCCAGTCCAGAAGACCCATTACCACCGCAGGAATTGGACGGGTGGCCATCCAATTTCTGCCTAAAAACCTCCCTAGCATGGGGTGGGAGGCTACGGGCCTCCATAGTATTGATGGACTGCAGCTCCCATTAGCCTCCACCAGGATGGCCCACATCGGGGCTCCGGAATGTCCTCCTGTCCTGCTCCATAGGAAAAGAAGCGTGACAATACAATAGGGAGAATCAAGAGCTCACACCAGATTAAATCATGCCAACAGCAGAAGCATTGAAATCACTGGGACTAAGTTAGCGATATGTTCCACTGATTTCGATGGGTGTACTCTAAATATGGCTAAATTGGGAACCAGCCCATTGTAAGGACACCCCAAGTTGGTATCAGAGCTGAGGCATGTAGAAAGTCATGGCTAGTGCAAATGTAGGGAAAGCGACCGTGGGATTCGAACTCATGATCCCTGGTTTAAACAAGCGCTGTGACCCATGAGATGCACATTCCTTCTACCTTATCCCTTTACTTAGCAGAATTCCATGAAGGCAAACCTGGCTGTTGCCACGTAAATGTCACCAATGGGGGAATATGAAAGGTGGGCCGAAGTAGGTCCATCTTCTGGATCAGGGCTCCCCAACCTGGAGCTCTGATGATGTCTTGACTACGATGCCAATCCTCCCAGTCATCATGGCCACTGTCTTCTCTAAAAGAGGACACATGCCAATGCTGACGCTGGTTGAGTTATCCTTCTAGCTGGTGATGGGATCCTCTTCAATAATAGGGTTAGGGTAACAGTTAGAAAAACCAAGACCCCCCTCACAGGTTGAGTGCCTTGTACTGTAGTTTATTGTATTGAGTTTATTGTTTTGTGCCGTGTACTCTGGGATGAGGAAGAGGAGGCATCTTCCTTCTTCCTTCATTCTCTCAAACCACTGAGCCCTAGGGCTGAGATCTTCGTCATCTTGTACACACTTTGCTTGAAGAAAGAAAGGCTTGAAATAAATCTCTGGGGAGTTTGCTCTGGGTTTTCTCCGAGTTTTTGCTTCCTTTTGTTTCTTCAACACCCTCCCTGCAGCTTGAATTCTCATTAGCTTTGGCATGATAGAGCCATGGGGAAGACAAAAGCCTTTGGGGTTAAGTCAAGAGAAGGCACTTATGGGACCAGCAATGCTGTAAAGACATGAGACTAGTCAGAAAGATCAGAGCTGAATGAAACGGGAACAAGGGATGAATTCTAAGAAGAGATGGGCACACCTTCTCAGCCAGTTTACCTGTCTGAGCCCAAAGTCAGAGAGAAAGTATGTTTCAAGAGTAGACTAAGCACAGGGGGTAGCTTTCCTCTTAATTTCCACTTGTGTTATGGACTGGGGTCTTTTTGAGAGGCAAAATCACAATGTAGTTGAGATAAGTTTTAGTCTGGAAGGAAAGAGCCACCAGCAATCATCTCAGCATCTTTGATAGAACCCTTCCGCCAAGGAGATGAAACAGATGAACAACTGGGACCATTCTGCTGAAAAGTAAGCAAGGTAACGGGGTGGCGGGACAGGTTGTTTATCCCGTATTTTCCAAGGATATTCCTTATTAAGATGCACAACCAGGAGTTTCACAGACCCTGGGAGAGCTAAAATCCAACTTTTGAGATATTGATATCCATTACTAATGTGGCTCTAGAAGCTTCCCTATCCGTGGTGTACTTGGGCAGAAAGATTTGTTAGACCATATGGCTATTGAAAGCATAATCCAGAAGGTCTTGGTGGAAAGGTGAGCTCACATATAATGTGAATATAGAATATAGAAAATATAGAATTGCCCAAGGGTTACTGTCAATAAAATATTTTGAAAACCAAGGAGTGGGGGTGGGGATAAATCTATTCAACCATAGAGCAAGCCCTGCCATTTTAGTTCCAGACCTAGGAAATCTCATATTGATTCAAATTCCAGAAAACCACTCAATTTGAAATGGAGACTGATACCTCAATTGGCTTGCTCTACTTCCAGTGATGTTGTTATGCAATGCCACAAAATCTGCTTCCTTTCCAGGTGTCCTCCATGCACCCACCGTAGTCATTCAGGCTCATCTTGATCCTTGGCACGGAAGATCTGCAAATCTGCCCCATACTGTCCAGATGCTGACTCGTCCTCTGAGCCTAACTATGCTGAAATTCAACACAACCAGAGGGCACCAGGTTGGGAGAGGCTTGTTAAACCTATCCAGCAAGTCATCTATTACAATCCTCTTATGAAAATCTTTCTTGTTCCATGACCCATGCAATTCTTTCTATTGACATTAAAGATGTTGTGATTTATCTTCCCTTCCTCTCCTCCATCCATCACTGATTATATCCATGTCAGGGATGGAGTGTGAAAATCAAACTTCATTGACTGAGTTTGTCCTCACTGGGTTTCCGTATCCTGAGAATCTGAAGGGACCTTTATTTATCTTCTTCCTCCTGGTCTACCTACTCACCCTCCTTGGAAACCTTCTGATTCTTTTGGTTGTGGTGTCCAGTCCGCAGCTCCACAAACCCATGTATTGGTTGCTCTGCTACTTGTCCCTTTTGGATATGAGTGTCTCCTCAGTGATTGTCCCCAAGGTGATTGCTGGATTTGTAGAAGGTGGAGGGGTCATCTCCTTCGGCGGCTGCGTATGCCAGCTCTTCTTCTTCCACTTCCTGGGCTGTACGGAATGTTTCCTCTACACGGTGATGGCCTACGACCGCTTCCTGGCCATCTGCAAGCCACTCCACTATGGCACCATCATGAACCGTAGGACCTGCCTCCTGCTTGGCGTGGGCACCTGGATTGGAGGTTGCCTTCACTCCATGATGGAGACTACTCTCATTTTCCGCTTGCCTTTTGGCTGGAGAAACCAGGTGAACTATATCTTCTGTGACATTCCAGCTGTGTTGAAGTTGGCTTGTGCCAACACTTCACTCAATGAGAAGGTGACCATGATTGATGTCGGCATGGTGGCTACCGCTTGTTTCTTCCTCATCTTGACTTCCTACGTGTGTATTGTACCCGCCGTGATGAAGATCTGCAGCGTGGAAGGGCGTCAGCGAGCCTTCTCCACCTGCACAGCTCACCTTACGGTAGTGGTGACCTATTACGTGCCTCTTGTCTTCATCTATCTGAGGCCAGGATCTCAGGGGGCCCTTGACGGTGTGGTAGCTGTGTTCTATACTTCCCTGGCGCCACTTCTCAACCCCATAGTCTATACGCTGAGGAACAAAGACATAAAAGTGGCCCTCACAAGACTGTCCAGTAGGTCACTCTAGAGTGGACGTCACACATTTCATGCTTGCAACCGTTTCCCGCTTCCTCCTGCCAGGGAATGTCTCAATCTAAGAACTTCAGCTTTTTAAGCAATGACCATGATCTCTCAGGCATGGAGATCACCTTGTGAAACGTTAAGAAGCAAGAGAGAGCAAGACCAGGCAGCAGGGCTTTTGAGGGGTGGGATATTAATGTCCGCACAGCTCAGCCTTCATGCTATGCATTCATGGGCTGTCGGCTTTTTCTAAGACTGCATCTTGAGCACAGTTCAATCGAATTACTGCGACTCAATGGTAGGACCCATCATTTGCATACAGAAGGCCCCTAGTTCAAACCTTCACATTTCCATGCAGAGGAGAACTGCCTTTGC